GAAAACATTATGCATGAGGAGAGAGACAAAAGAAAAAAAGATAAAGAATATGAGAGAAGAAAAGAAATCAAATATATAATGGAGAGAGAACAATAAAAGAAAAGAGAAATAAGAAAAAGAAACATTATTGAGGAGAGGTAATAAAAGAAAAAAGAGAAGAAAGAAAAAGAAAGAAGAATAAAAGAAATAGAGAATGCAGAAAAGAAAACAAGGAAAAGTTTAAAAGAAAAAGAAATAAGAAAATATTATTCTGAGAGAAATTTTAAAAGAAAAAGAATATAAGCTTCTTTTTATGTCAAGAAGAACACAAAAAAATATAATCAAAAGAAAATCAGTTGTTAGGAGAGCCAAGAAAAGAAAAGAATAAAAAAAAGAAAAATGGAGGAGAGAAATAAAAGAAAATAAAATAAAAGAAAATGTTATTGAGGAGAGATGTTTTCAAAGAAAAGAAAGAATATAAGAAAAAGAAAACACACAGGGAGGAGAGAATAATAAAAGAAAAAAGAGAATATGCTGAAAAAAGAAAAACATTATGAGGGGAGAGAACAAAAAAAGATATCTGAGAACACATAAGACAGAAAAACAAAGAGATTATAAAGAGCAGAGAGGTCAATAAAAGAGAGAATATAAGAAAAAAAAATTATTGAGGAGAGAAAAATAATAAAAGAAAAAGAGAAATAAGAAAAAGAAAAAATTAGAGAGAGAAAATAAAGAAAAGAGAATTAAGAAAAGATTTTTTATTGAGAGAGAGAAAGTAAAAAGAAAAGAGAATATAAGAAAAAAAGAAAACATTATTGAGAGAGAAAAGAGAATCTATAAAACTAAAGAAAAGAGAATATAAGAAAAAAAGCATTATTGAGGAGAGAACAACAAAAGAAAACTCCTTTATGGTTGAAAAGAAAACATTAACTAATGAGAGAGGTAATAAAAGAAAAAGAATATAAGAAAAATTGAGAGAGATTAAGAAAAGAAAAACATTAGAGATACAAAAGAAAAGGATCCAATTTATTTTGGGAGAGAGAAATAATAATGAAAAAAATTGAAAGAGAGAATACAACTCTTTAAGAAAAGAAAAAATTATGAGAGAGTTCAACCAAAAGAAAAAGAGAATGCTGATAAGAAATAGAAATGAATACTGGATGAAATTAACTACATTGGATTGTGTTAAAAGAAAACTGAGGAGAGAAATAATAAGTGAAAAGTCAAAAAACATTAATGAGAGGGAGAGAGAAACAAACAAAAGAAAAGAGAATATATGAAAAGCATTGAGGAGAGAGAACACATACCATTAATGAGAGAAATAATTTATTGAGGAGAGAGAACAATAAAAGAAAAGAGATTTATTTCCTGGGCAAGATTGGAGGAGAGAGAACTCAAAAGAAAAAGAGAATAAAAGAAAGAGAAAATAAAATTTTGTAGAGGAGAGACTTACAAAAAAGAAATAGAGAATTTGAAATGAAACATTGTTTTTGGAGAGAGATCAATAAATCAAAAAGAGAGAAAAAGTGAATGAGAATGTCAATGTTCAATGTAATTCCATAGATGACAATAAAAGAACAGAGAATATGCGAAAAGAAAAGAGAAACTTAATCCAGACATATGGAAAATACCATGAGAAGTTTGGAGGAATAATCAGAAATTGGAAAAATATTAATGTTTTAGACAGTCGTTTTATAGTGGATGATATAAGAAAAGAATTCAGCCATGAGGGAGAGAACCAAAAAGAAAAGAGATTTTAAAAAAGAATGCTTATTGTAGAGAGAGAAAATAAAAGAACAGAGAATTGCATGAAAAGAAATTTATTGAGGAGAGAAATGAAAAGAATAGAGAATGAATCCAAAAGAAAATGTAACTGTGGAGAGAGAATAGAAAAAAAATCATTTAGAATTGGGAGAGAGAATCATTTCTTCTTGACTCTGCCACAATGGAGGAGATTACTCCAGAAAACCATAGGAGAGAGAGGAATAAAAGAAAGAATATAAGAAAAAGAAAAAAACATTGAGAGAGAGAATAAAAGAAAAACTCAGAAAAGAAAAACATTTTAGAGATTGATTTGTTTCGCGGAAAAAGAAAAATATTGCCAGTTAACACATAAAAGAAAAGAAAAATTGAGGATTTTTTTTATTAAAAGTTGCTTTATGGAGGAGAGAAAAGTAATATAATAAAAGAGAAGAGAGAAATAATAATAAAAAGAAAAGAGAATTAAGAAAAGAATAAAATGAATAATAAAAAAGAAAAGAGAATATAAGAAAAAGAAACATTGAAGGAGAGATCCAATAAAAGAACCTACAAATAAGAAAAGACAGCATTTTGGGAGAGAGAATAAAAGAAAAGAAAGAAAAGACATAAGAAAAAGAGAGAAAAGATTATATTTGAGGAGAGAACTAAAAGAAAAGATGATTAAGAAAAAAAATATTATTAGAGAGAGAAAATAGAAAAAAAAGAATATAAGAAAAAGAAAACAAATATGAGAGAGAACTTTAAAAGAAAAGAAATAAGAAAAAGAAAAAGAGAACTTAAAAGGAAATAAAAAAAAGAAAAATTGTCATGGAGGAGAGAGAGAACAAAAGAAAAGAGAAGAATGAAAAAAAAAGACAAAGAGAACATTAATACCCGCCATGAGGAGAGAGTTTTAAAAAGAAAAGAGAATATAAGAAAAAGAAAAATTATTGAGGAGAGAGAACAAAAGAAAAAATATCTAAAGAGAATAAAAGAATAAGAAAAGAAAAAATTAAAATAATGAGAACAATTACAAAAAGAAAAGAGAATATAAAAAAGAATAAAGGAGGAGAGAGAGAATAAAGAAAAGAGAATATAAGAAAAGAAAATGAATAAAGAGAGAGAATTTGAATAAAAGAAAAGAGAATATAAGAAAAAGAAAAAACATTAGGAGAGAGAAAAAAGAAAGAATTGCAAAAAATTGAGAGAGCAATAAAAGAAAAAGAAAATAAAAAAAAAAAATTTTTGGAGAGAGAGAGAACAAAAAAAGAAAAAGAAAAAGAATTGTGGGAGAGAGATAAAAAAAAAGAAAAAGAGAATATAAGAAAAAGAATAAAAATTTTGAGGAATAAAAGAAGGAATAAAAGAATAAAATGGAATGATGAAAGAAAAGAAAAGAGACTCAAAAAGGAAGAGATTAATGAAAAGAAAAGTCAAGGCGTAAGAAAATGAATGAAGAAATGAAAATTTGATGAAGAAGAATAAAAAAAGAGAAAATAAGAAAAGAAAATATTAGCAGAGAATGAAGAAAATGAAAAGAGAAAAAAGAAAAACAAAATAATTGGAAAGAGAAGCAAAAAAAGAAAAGTATATATAATTGAAAAAAAAAAAATAGGGAGAGAGAGAATAAAAAAAAGATCTAAGAAGAATGAGAGAAGAAAAGAAAAAATTAAAATGGAGGAGAGAGGCAATAAAAAAAAAGAGAAAATAAGAAAAGAAAATATGGATGAGAGAGAAAAGAAAACAAAAGAAAAGAGAAAGAAAAGAAGAAAGAAAAAAAAAGGCAACAAAAGAAAAATATATGGGAGAGAGAAACAAAAGTGAAGAGAATATAAGAAAAGAAATACAAAGATTGAGGAGAGAGAAGTAAAAAAAGAAAAGAGAATATAAGAAAAAGAAAACAAATAGAGAGAAAAAAAAAGAAAAAGAAAAACATTTTAAGAGAGAGCAAAAAGAAAAAATGAAGCAAAAGAATGGGAGAGAGAAACAAAAGAAAAGAGAATATAAGAAAAAAAAAAAAGAAAAAGGGGAAGAGATTTATAAGAAAAAAGAAAAGAGAATATAAGAAAAGAAAAAAAAAGAAAAGGAGAGAGAAAAAAAAAAAGAAAACAGAATATAAGAAAAAGAAAAAAATATGAGGAGAGAGAACAGAAGATAAAGAGAGGATAAAGAAAAAGAAAAGAGAAGCAATAAGAAAAAGAAACTCAAAAAATTGGCAACAGAGAATAAAAAGAAAAAGATTGAAGGAGAGAATTAAAATAAAGGAAAAGAAAGAAAACATTGAGGAGGAGAGAGAAGAATAAAAGAAAAGAGAATAAAAGAAAAAAAAAAGATGGAGAGAGAGAATAACAAAAGAAAAAAGAGAAGAAAGAAAAGAAAACATGAGGAGAGAGAACAATAAAAGAAAAGAGGGGAAAGAAAGAAAACAGGAACTAAGAAAAGTGAATAGAGAGAGAAAACAATAAAAGAAAAGAGAATGGCAAGAAAAAGAAAACATTATTGAGGAGAGAGAATATGGAAAAAAAAGAGATGAAGCAAAAAGAAAACATAACAGAGAGAGAGAGAAAAGAAAATAAAGAAAAAGAAAACAGAGAATAAAAAAAAAAGAAAAGAAGGTAAAAGAGAGAGATCAAAAAAAGAAAAGAGAATATAAGAAAAGAAAAATGGAGGAGAGAGAAAAGAAAGAAAAAGAGAATATAAAAAAAGAAAAACAGAGGAGAGAGAATTTAAAAGAAAAGACAAAATAAAGAGAAAAGAGAGAAAAAGAGAGAAGAAAATAAAAGAGAAAAAGAGAATATAAGAAAAAAAAAAAGAGAGAGAGAGAAAAATAAAAGAAAAAGAATAATTAAAAGAAGAGAGAGAACAAAAGGAAAAGAAAAGGTAACAGAGAGAGAGAACAAAAAAGAAAAAAGAGAATAGAAAGAAAAGAAAACAAATTATGGGTGAGAAGAATAAAAGAACAGAGAATTTAAGAAAAAGAAAATATTATATATTCAGAGAGAAAAAGAAATAAAAGAAAAGAAAATATATATTTATTCCAAAAATATAGAAAAGTTAAAGAGAGAGACAAAAAACACAAAAAGAAAAAAGAACTTTAGAGAGAAGAGAGAACAAAAGAAAATCTATAAGAAAAAGATTAGAGAGAGCAATGTGCAAACAAAAAAGAAAAGAAAAAACATAGAAGAGAGAACAAAAAAATTAAGAGTAAGAAAAGAAAGAGAAAGAGAACAAGAGGTTTTGCAAGAAAAAGAAGGTTTTATTTGAGAGAAATACAAAGAGATTTAAAAAAAAAGAAAAGAGAGCAAGAAAAAGAAAAAGAAGAAAAATAAAGAGAGAAAGAAAAAAAGAAAAGAAAACATTGAGGAGAGAGAAAAGAAAAGAGAATTAAGAAAGATTAACTGAGAGAGAAAATAAAAGAAAAGAGAATATAAGAAAAGAAAACATTAGAGAGGAGAGAGAACAATAAAAGAAAAGAGAAATAAGAAAAGAAAAAAATTGAGGAGAGAGAAAATGAAAAAGAAAAGAGAATATAAGAAAAGAAGGTAACATGAGGAGAGAGAAAATAAAAGAAAAGAGAATATAAGAAAAGAATAAAGAGAGAGGAGAGAGAACAAAATAAAGAGAACAGAGAGAGAAAAAAAGAAAGAATGGGAGGAGAGAGAAAAAAAGGAATAAAGAAAAGAAAAACATGGAAGAAAGAAAAAAGCAACAGAAAAAAAAAAAAAGAGAGAGGAGAAAGAAAAGAGAAAAGAAAGAGAGAAGGGAGAGAAGAAAAAGAAAGAATATAAGAAAGAAAATTGAGGAGAGAGAAAATAAAAAAGAACAGAGAATAAAAGAAAAGAGGGAAGAATTGAGGAGAGAGGAATGTTAAAGAGAGAAATAAGAAAAAGAAACAGAGAACAAAAAGAAAAAGAATATAAGAAAAGAAAAATATTGGAGGAGAGAGAAAAATAAAAGAAAAGAGAATATAAGAAAAAGAAAGAGAACAAAAAAGAAAAAGAGAAATATAAGAAAAAGAAAACATTGAGGGAGAGAGAACAAATAAAAGAAAAAGAAGAAAAAAAATGGAGAGAGAATATAAGAAAAGATGAAGAAAAGAAAAATTATTGAGGAGAGAGAAAACAAAATGAAAAGAGAATAAAAAAAAAAAAAATGAGGAGAAGAAAAAGAAGAATAAAAGAAAAAGAGAAAAAAATTGAGGGGAGAGAGAATACAAAACAAAAGAAAAAAGAAAAAAAAAAAATTAATAATGGAAAGAAACTAATAAAAGATGAAGAGAAAGAAGAAAAAAGAAAAAATGGGAGAGAGAATAAAAAAGAAAAGAGAATATAAGAAGAAAAATATGGAGAGAGAAAATAAAAGAAAAGAGAATATAAAAGAAAGAAAGAAGAGAAGAGAAAAGAAAAGAAAAGAATATAAAAAAAGAAAAAAGAAGGGGGAGAGGGAAGAATAAAGAACAGAGAATGGAAAAAGAAAAACTAAGAAAAGAGAAACAAAAGAAAAGAAAAAAGAAAAAAAAAAAAATGAGAGAGAGAAAAAAGAAAAAGAAAAGAGAGGGGAGGAGAGATTTTAAAAGGATAGAAATATAAGAAGAAAGATGAAGAAGAGAGAAAAGAAGAAAGAAAAGAGAACAGGGCAAAAGAAAAAGAGGGGAGAGAGAAATAATAAATATGAATAAAGAAAGAAAGATGAGGAGAGAGAAAATAAAAGGAAGAAAAGAAAAAGAAAAATGGAGAGAGAGAACAAAAAGAAAAGAGAGGGAAGAATTAAAATATGATAGAAAGAAAAAGATGAAGAATAATAAAAGAAAGAAGAAAAAAGAAAAAAAATGGCAAGAAAATAAAAAAGAAAAGAGAATAATAAAAGGGAGAGAATAAATTTAAACATTATTGAGGAGAGAGAAACAAAAAGAAAAAGAAAAAGAAAGAAAAAATGAGAGAGTATCACAAAAACAAATAAAAAGAAGAGAGAGAGAATAAAGAAAAGAGAATTAAATATGGAGAGAAACTAAGAAATATAAGTAAAAAGAAAAAGAGGAGAGAGAAAGAATAAAAGAAAAACAACAAAAATAAAAAAGAAAAGAGAGGAAGAATTTAAATATGGATAGAAACTAAGAAAGGAAGGAAGCAAAAGAAGAAGAAAAGAAAGAAATGGCACAAAATAAAAGAAAGAGGGAAGAATTCTAACATGGATAGAAAACTAAGAAAGATGAAGCAAAGAAAAAGAAAGAAGAAAAGAAAGAAATGCATAAACAAAATAAAAAGAAAGAGAGGAAGAATTTAAATATGATAGAAACTAAGAAAGATGAAGCAAAGAAAAGAAAGAAGAAAAAGAAAAATGGCAACAAAATAAAAGAAAAGAGA